CCCCAGCGGCTTTCAGCAGCAGTATTGCTTGGTGAATGCGACCGGCCGCGTACTGCCAGTCTTAGCACCGATGAACCACCCCCTGATGCCGCCGCTGATGCAGCAGGCATATGGGTCTACACCGCCGAGCTCTGACCAGTTTGTTTTGAACTCGCCTACACAGGGTTGTAAAACAAGGGGGGCATTTCTGTTGTCATATGGTATGATGTTTCATAGACGTCGGTATGTATAACATTATACAATTGGGTGGGTGGGGTGAGGTAGGTTCCTCCTTTCTAGGTTGCCCACTCTTCCCTGCCACACATCTCACGTCGCCACTTACCAGTAGCACCACGCGACTTGACGCGGGGTGGCACATCCTCTGCTTCGGTGATGGCGGCTGGTGCACTCATCGGGACCACAGTTCCGCCGCGTCCTCGACGGTGCCAGTCTCCGCGTCCCTGTGTCCCTGATCCTCCACGGCCCCCTCCGATGCCGTTTTGATCTTGAACAAGAGGGATTTCGCGTCCGAGACGGTAAGGCCCGGTACATTCCCTCTCAGTGCCATGGCGGTGCGAAGCGGGGAGAGCTGGAAATCCTCTGCAATGAAGGACACACTGTCTTTCAAAACACCGTTCGCAAAGTTTCCGGTTGTTCTCGGCACGGGGACATCGCCGCCCCACGTCTCTGGCACGGACTCGCGCTTTTCTCTCTGTGATCAATCTCTCACCTTGGAACAGTTCCCATGCTTCACCAACGGAGTAGACGCCGAGATCTTCTTCGAATTGACGACGCACAGCATCCACCCGTTCATCGTCCACGTCCAGCACATCGTGGAGACACGTCGCGACAGCCGCGACATCAGACTATAGACGCAGCAGAGAATTAAATAAACCCCGAGTGAAGGCGAATGGCTGCAAGTGCACCATGGCGCATTTGCATGGTTGGAAGCCACAAAGCATGAAAAGACATACCGCGTCATTTGGACTTCGTGTCAGCTGGTCTCGAGGGTCTCCATCTTCCGCAGTGTCCTCCAGGGCGACATCTATAGCGGCCATTTACTCGCCACTCCTACCCGAAAGTAACCTATCTTCTATGTAATCAACGCTAAACGC